GTCTAATCAAGTTGCTCATGTCCGTCCAGAAATACCAACCGGAAAAGCATGCTCAACCCTTACACCTGTTGAAATTATCAACTACCTAACTGGTGGCTATCGCTTAAGCAAAGCCCGGTCGAATGATCTGTTCTGGGAAGCTGTTTGGCCTCGATTACTCGCAAGAGATTGGCATTCTGAACAGCCTAATGATCATGGTTTTGCTGCTGCCTCCAGGCATTCTCTGGTCTTTCTGATCCCTGGCATCGAGAAGTTTTCAAGAAGGAAACTAGTGAAAGGAGACCACTATTTTGATTCTGTCAGTGATGTCCTGAATAAAGTTGCTTCGGATCCAACACTTCTTGACCTTGACATTGGAGAGGATAAGGGTGATGGTAGCAAGGAAGAAACCACATGGAACAACAAGACAAATTTGGACCAAGGAGATTTTCCTGGTCAACAACGCCATTGTTACCTCAAACCTAGAACTCCAAGCCGCACTTCAAATGCCATGATGTTTACCGTAGTTGATACAAGTCTTGCCAGTGAGGAAACAAAAAAGGTGAGAGAACTGAGGAGCTTACCAGTTGGATTGATGAGCATATCCAACTCCAGAAGTGATTCTGAAGATAGTGATGATGATTCTTCAAAGGAGTCAACTGATGAATCTGATTCTTGTGATAACCTGTGTTCTGATAAGAAGAAGAGTACCATGATAAAAACCACAAAGAATGATTTGGACAAGGGAGTATTTTCTGTCAGTGAAGGCGTTGAAAATAATGCTTTAAAGCAGAGTTTCCCTATAAATGGTTCAGGTTTCACCAAGGCTCTTGAAGAAATTCCCGAGGACCAGAAAGCTGATAAATGTGATGATATGCAGATGAAAAGGGCTATCAAGCGCCAAACAACCCGAAGAGTAAGACATGGAGACAGAAAAATTTTGGCCCCAGTGGCAAAACATCTACATGGATTAATAGCTTGTGACCAGACAAAGACAAGCTGTGGTGTAATTAATAGTCATGGGTTAAAACAAGATGAGCTTGGTTGTGCTGGAGAAGGTCCTAATTTTAGAGACGATTTTCTCTCTCGAGTGGATCCAACTGTGGAGAAATTATCAGCTACCAGTTCTTCCAGAGGCAGTCCAAATATTAGTGATGAATGCGCTCTCAGCAGTAATTCCTCTGTTGCTGAACATCCGCATGAGAAACTTCAATCCCGGGCATTGATTGACCTGAACATACCTGTAGCTCAAGATGCTGAAACGGAACCTTCAATGATGGAAGTGATAGAAGTACAAGATGATCAAGCAAGCAGGCAAACACAGGATTTTTGGCGGAAAAAAATCACCACACCAGTAGTATGTGATTCTATTCCTCAGCAGCCACCTGATATGAACGCCCGAAGACACAGCACAAGAAACCGGCCGCCGACCACTAAAGCACTAGAAGCTCTCGCTTGTGGCTTCTTAAGCACAAAGCAGAAGCGGAAGAGTAAAGATGATTTTTCACTAGATAACCGGATGTCGAGGCCTTCACGACGTGCTCGCAGTAAGATGAGAATCACTGAAAACTTCAGTGTTGATATGACAAATTTTAAAGGAGATGAAAGAAGAAGAAATGGTGGGTGCAAGAGTAACGGAGACATGCTCAGCGAGGTTCAGATTTAAATCACGGGTGGTGTTCCAACCTTGGGCTCCAAGTTTTTTTCGGTGCTGGTCTGCCAATCTGTACCATAGGAATGAGTCGTTAAGACTCTGGAAGGTTAAGCTCTTCTCAGCAGGTGAAGTACTCAAGACTTGGAGGCGGCGCTCCTTTGTCTTGCTTCGAACTGCAACATGCATGGCTTCATGCTAACTTCACAATGATAAGAATAGAATTATAGACTTTCCAAGACAACGTCTACACCGGACAAAGAACCTTGCGAGATGGCTACCATCAGGAAACAAGATGGGGAAAAGGTTGCTTACAAGTCAAAGTGTTGTTTTTCAACAGTATTTGACAGTACAGATACTTCTTAATCTGAACTCCCATATCACCTTTGCCTAACTGAGGCAATCATTGCCCCATGATCCAACCTAAAGTCCAGTATGGTCTTTTCCTCCTGAATGTGTGTTTGTTTTCTGTTGAATTCATCCATAATGAATCGAAGTATTGGTAAGCAGATGGATTCTCCTGTTCTAATGGGGTTTTATCATTTCGTTTTTCAATATTTGCTGCTCTTGAGTTGAATCTACTATTGTGAGACTTGGAAAGTTGAACACAATGACATCTGCGTCTCCTCGTTCTTCTTCTTCCTCTTCTTTCTTTCCCCCCCTTTAAAATGGCAGTTTCCTCAAAAAAACTGTGTCGAGACATCAAATCCTGCAAGCCATTGTAGCGTTAAAAGTCATATGATAGAAGCTTAACTACTATTTTCCCTTCTTTAGTTTGGTTTCAGTGATTCTAACTCTTAAAGAAGAAATTATTTTTCATCATCATTTACGAAAAGAAAAAAAAATTCTTGAATTAAAAATAAATAAATAAGTAAATGGAGGGGAGGGGAGGGGGGAAACTTGAAACCATGCAATGCAAGAAGCTCCCTTTTTGAGTTCTTTCTATTCAGACTCGCAGCAGAGAAAGACAAAGGAGGGTGTTATCCACGTGGCATTCAGAGAAGCCGCCAACGTGTCACCCATTCAGAGAAGCCGCCAACGTGTCACCCTATTTTCTCCTGAAAAATATTATAAAGAAAACCAGCGCGTGTTATCCACTGCCATCTTCTTCTTCTTCTACTCCGTTTCTCTATTTCCTACTACGCTGCCCAAAAGCACGCTCCATTATATTTCCCCGCCATTAAAAAGACAAAATTAAAGGTGGCTGTGGTGTTATTGGCATTGACATTTAATTGCTATAATAAAGAAAACAATAATGGGTCAGGCATTTCGTCGAGCATTTGGAAGAATCCGAGCACCACCAGACCCACCTCCACACCGCGTGAGGCCGCCGTTTACATCCACCGAAAAGGTTGAGATCTCGAGGAGCTCAACTGCCAATCAATTTAACAATGAAAACGGTCTTGTCTCTGGTTAGTTTATCATTTCATGTTACTGCTTCTCTTAAGAGTTTCTTTTTTTTTGGTAAATGATGAAATAGTGGTTCATTCCATGAGAAAATAGCACAAATTGAGCTCTATTTTGGGGGGTTTTTTCCTGAACCCAGAAGCAAAAACACAAGGAGGAGTTTTTGGGCTATCGAAATTGTATATAGAATCTAACCCTGTTACCCTGGTATGATTTGAAGGGTCTGTTTGGTTTCTGGGATAATTTTGCAAGCACAAACTGTTGATTAAGAAGAATTTGAAGAGAGAATAGAAAGAATAGAGATAAAAAGAAGAATAGCAGATTAAGAAAGAACAGAGAGGAAGAGAAAATAGAGCGGGAGAGAGAATAGTCCGCAAAATTTGTCAGTTCTCATCGTTACCTTCTAAGTCTCTTACAATTCTCTTTATATTCAATGAATTCCCATTCTTCACGCTAACTAACTAACCCTAACTGATTAAAACTACTAACTAACTGTTATTATAAAGTCCTAACTAACATTCCAAGTGTGATTCCATCAATGCACCTGCTGCTGCTGCTTCTTGTTGCACTCCTTCTAGCCTTCATATCCTCTGGTTCGTAACATAGTTAAAGTTGAAAATGAAAACCTGGTTGGCATTCATTTTCTTGGAATGTTTCCATTTTGGTCCTTTTCTTGAGTTTAAATTTTGTATTTTTTATGCTGTAGAACACGGAACAATGTGAGAGAAAAACCAGTCTGTGATTTTGCGACTGAAATAACTGAGAATGAACTGGATATGTGATGTGAGTCGTGTCTTCTTGGTTTCGTCAATTTGATTGAACTATTACAGTGACCCTCACATGAGAGTAGGGATGCATGCATTTGTGCAATTTATGTTCTGTAAGAAATACATTAGAACTGACCAATTATGTGGCCTCTTTAATGTGCTCAAGCAGATTGCAAGTCATCTATATCCTTGACCATAGTTTGATAGTATTAATTGGTTGGTATTGATAATTGATCGTCTTGTTGGTGCTTAATAAATGATCTATGTTAGTGCTTCAGATATTGAGCTAGTATTTGTTAACAGGCACCTGTGGTTGAAAGGTACGATAGGCCCATGCCAAAGCTGCGAAACACAAAACCCGATTCTGGCAGATATGAAGAAAGGCTTGGTGCTCCAGGAACTCTGAATGTAGCACAGCTGGGCCAAATAATGCTCCTGTATCAAGGGAAGGCTGATGATCATGAAGGACCCATGAACGCTCAGCAAGTCGCTGAGAAGTTTCCACTGGAAGTTGCACAAGTTCAGGGGGTCTTGCAGTTCTCTTAGCACTGCCGCCACAGGATACCAATAAACAGAGAAGCGATCGGTGAAAGATTGTGGGCTTTTAGGATACGCTGTTGAATAAGAAAGCAGTCAATGCCAGAATTCCTTGTCCTTCGTTATAGAGCAAATCAGCAAAATACAAATCTACTGTTAGTTGGCCGTTCTTGCGAACAGAATTTCGGACGACAATTTGTCCTGTTGAGTATGTCATCAGCAAATTTTGTTGGTAATCTGACTCTGACCACTAATTGACACTATTTGTTTGTACACAGAGCTGAGGAGCTATTCCCCTCGTTTCTTGTGCTGATATGTAAAATGCCAGTCTTTTATGTTTTATCAACTCCGAGTTATGCAAGGCTTTAGCAAATAGCAAGGTGACAATTCACATTCAATGATGTTGAGGTTTCGCTATGCACTGTACGGTCAGAACTTGCCACTGCGGTAGTTGGCCGCTGCTACCCTGTGGCCTGTTGCCCGTAGCTTGTATGTTTCTGGTCACAAACTTATTGTCCGGTGATACATGAAGGGGGGTCTTAGATGGTTAGTGGTTCCATGGATTACATTGCTGAGATCCCCAACGTTTATAACGGCTACAAGTTCATCAAACAATGGTCAGATGCCCAGATCAATAAAACAGCAATTGGCGACCGAAGTGTAACAAAAAAAGCAAACCCAAAAACTCGAGGATTAAATTCCCAAACAAGGTCCCCTGTAACATTTAAGACGAGAATTCATGCTCCATGGCCAAACCACCGTGCTCCAATCCCCTTATTCCCGAGAAGATCTCAATGTTGAAATCCCGCTTCTACTAAACAATAAAATCATATAACTAAACCAACAACAAGAGTTTCCACCATTTGAGAACAAATTTAGAGAATTAATTAACAGTCCATGATCTCCAGTGGCACATATATAATAGCATTGTCTACTGAAACGTTTCCACCATTTGAGAACAAATTTAGAGAATTAATGAACAGTCCATGATCTCCAGTGGCACATAAATAATAGCATTGCCTACTGAAACGTTTACCTCCAAAAAAATGACCATTCCCTCTAAATTTTAATTTTTACCTTGTTCACTCTATAGGCATAAAATCCAGCTTCTAAAAATTATTAAAAAATAATATAAATTATATTTTGAAGCCTCACTTAACAGTTTAAGCTATTAAATTAAGATGATATTAGAGCCTTCACAATCAAGCGGTCACAAGTTCAAATCTTATTATTTCTATTTATTTAATAAAAATTAAACACAAAGTAATGTAAGCATATACAAGTTTGGAGCACAGAGAACTTTTACTTGAGGGGATGTATTGAAGCCTCACCTCACAACTTAAGCTATTGAGTTGAAATGGTTCTTTGACAAAAATGACTAATCTGACGACCAAAATGCATAAGAAAAGAACAGAAAAAATATTTTGTTAGATTCAAGTCAAAATAGACTCTAGCCAGTCTGATGTGAATTCATATGCCACAAATGTTACAGCACCAGCTGGTGCAGCCTTGACAGTTGATGGGACGATGCCTTTATAAAGACCAGCCCAGCCCTCCATCTGCAAAATTCGGTGAAGAGCATCAAACATGTTTCTGTAAGCATGATGCTCAACTCGACCACCATACTTTGGGTGCCTCTGTAGTCCTTCAATCTGTAGCAAGCCAAAAAACAAAGAAAAATTAAGTATCATTGACAGTGCTGTAAGACAGAAATAGATGGCAACAACACGTTAAAACTCAAGTTTTTTGGCTAGCAAATTGATTTGGAACAAAGACAAGCTTATAGCAATCAACGTTAAAAATTCATAATCTACCTGAAACCTTTTCTTGACCACATCAAGAGGATGACAGACAAGTTTGGCACATGTGCCAGCTGCTAACCCGCAGATAAAAAGCTGAAAGCTTGAAAGGTTATCATCTGTGCTTATGGAGCTTGTGGTAGACGATATATGATGGTTCCAGGCCTACAATGAATCCTGTAAAATGTATTACCGTCCAAAACAGCTTGGTATGTATGTGTAGAAAGCAGGATGAAATATCCACCAAGTGCATGCATCACACATAGCCTTCTTTCAAAACTCTCTTTAAGAAAATACTTCTTCTCCAGAACAGAAAAGAAATTGCAATTCTTAACCAATTGACCAGCTGTAATGAACTAAATTTAGACCTTGATGACTGGCCAATGAAATCCATGACAGAATAGCTTCTCCATTGCCATTAAGTTAGCGGCTGCTTTGATAGAAATGACAAGGTGTCTCTCCAGCTTTAACAAGGTGCTTTGATAGAAATGACATGGTGTCTCTCCAGCTTTAACAAGGTGCTTTGATAGAAATGACAAGGTGTCTCTCCAGCTTTAACAAGGTGATGCTTTATTTAAAATGAAAAATCATTCTTACAGCAAAGCAAATGATTCCAATTGTCTCATTCTCAATATATTTCCACCTATAACAGAATTCTGAATAGTGTTGGCTAAAATTGCAGTGTGTAATGGGTGGATAATCCCAAAAGACCAAGAAAGCTATTTTTTTCAAATGTTTTACCAGCACACTAGATTGACTTTTCGATGGAATACCATTCCAGATAAAAGTTATTATCCCTTTAAAATCTTACCGTGGTCCAGTGCTTGGACACTTGACTACAAAAAGAGATCTGAATTCTTACCATGGTCCAGCGCTTAAATGTATCATAGGTGCCAAACTGAAGGCCAGCATAAGGAACAATCTCAACCAGTGTTGGGGAAAATCCAGCATATAAGCCTCTGAAGCCACGAGTTCTGACAATATCAACAAATGCTGACCTCATTGTTGGATACACCTACGAGGCACTAATCAGTCAAGCAGTAAAATGCAATAAAATCATTCGAAGGTGTCTGGAAATAGTGTCTTTGAGACAAATGAACTGAATAGGGTGAAATGAATTATATAGACACTCCTTTATGCAGTTAACTTATTTCTGCATAGCTGATACTTCCACTAATCAAAATCATCACAGGGAAAATTCAAGAGAGCGACCCATGTCTCTTAGAGAGCATAAGAATGACACGAATAATCATATTCTATACCTTAGGTTCACCCTGTGAAGCTAGTATGGTTCTTAGAAGATCAAATGGGTATGACCCAACTGTAGCTGCACACCCTGCTAATGCTCCACTAGCATAGGAGAGGTAAGGACTCAACTGAATATGATCCTCTGCATCATATTAAGCAAACAGGCCATAACAAATAAAAGAGACCTTCAGGGTACGTAAACAGGACAGATATTAAACATTTCATCACCTCCAGTGCCATCATATTTTCAAATAACATTGATACAATGACCTTCACTAGCATTAGGTATATAATATAATAATTTGACAGTCAGAATCTGGACCATATGACTCTAAACATACTGTAGAGCATAATACAAGTAGATTTTCCAGTAAAATTGTGCCAAACCTGTCACCATACATAACTCCATGCTAATGTATTACAAAATTTGAATCAGTTTTAGGTTAATCTGAATGTTGAATCAATCCATAAGCAAGGGAAAACAAAATAAAAAATGAGGTCATATTTGATTTGTACATGTCTATGTCATCCATTCACTAGTCAAAAATATTTTCAGTATGTTCAAAAGAAACCTTTAATGACACTAGCTAAACTACGTAATAGAACATTCATTGCTAGAATCAAATTTAGAGATGATATTAATCTGTTTATAATTATACCTGTCTTAGAAGAACCGGCAGCAAATGTTTTCAATTTGTGCAACACCGCAAATTGTATGGCAGTGTATGGCATAACCATAAGTAAAGCTGGGACATTTCCACGCCAAAAACCCTACAGCATGCAATCGTCTTGGATAAAAAGCAGGAAAATGGTAGATAGCCTTCACAAAATTAGTTTTTGAAAATATCTAGAAGGAACTCCCAAGAACAATATTTGGAAATCATAAACCATCCACTACAATGGCATGGAGTGAAGGAACTGGATAAATAAGTTAAAAAATCACATTCTCAAATTGTGGGCTCAGATCCCTCTAGTTATCCAAAAAAAAAAAAAAACCAAAAATCCAATCCTCAGAAAAATGGAAAAGGAACCTACATTTGAAAGACATTCCATCACTTTAATATTTATACCACACCTCGACTGAAGCTAAAACATGAAGTTGGTAAATTGGGAGTAAACCGCCTGGGGTTCAGCAACCCTGCTTCTGTCAAGTTCAAATCACCGGCTTAGATTTCTAAATACTCATCTACAACATGTATCATTAAATCACCAATTGTGCACCAATTTTGATTTACACTATTCAAATAAATCATCCATCCAAAAATAATAAACAGAAAGAATGCATCATACCGGTAAACCTTCCTCTCTAAATATATCCTTCGTTGCCTGCAACATTCCAGTGTACTTTGATGGTGCAGTCACATTACTGCGAACCAAAGCCCACAAAGACGTTGGCTCCAGTTGAACCTGTCAACAAATACACACCCCAACATTTTCTTAGTGTCACCTCTCGACACTTCTTCACTCATAAAATAACCTATATACAACCATGAATTTGAAAGACAAGCACACAATGACTAACACCAATATATAAATTAACATGCAGATCTCCTTGGTGTACAATAGCAGAAACCCCTTTTCAACTAAAGATCTATACTCCCCATTTCCAGGCCTCCATCATGAACTTTAAATTCTTATTCAAGTTGCATATTAATTCCATTCACATGAGCAACAGAACTTTACAGATATACTCTATTGAAAAGTGTCCATTAGAGAAACAAACATTGACAACCTTTTTTTATCAAACAAACAGAACCTTACAGAACAGTTTATCAAGACAGTGAAAACCCCAACCAACGAATACAAAAATCGCATTGTTTCACTGAGAAAAACAAAAACCCATCATAGCAAAACAATCAAATTTCAAACCCACATAATTCAACAATTAATAATAATAAAAAAAAATTAAAAAAAGGACCTGGAATCTGATCTTGATGACATCAAGAGGAGATGTAACAGTACGTGAAATGCCACCAGCAATAGCACCTGCTGTTGCATTTATTAACGCCCTTTTTATCTGCCCTCCTCCATCTGCTGTTGCTGGTTCCTCCCCCTCCATTCTCATTATTAATGATTAAATATCCCCCAAACCGAACCGAACCGAACGCCCCCTTTCCCTTTCTCAAGCAATGTCAACAATAAATTAAACCCAAAAAAGAAAGACCAGTCAGTTTAAGGAAAAGAGTAGAAAAAACCGAAAATGCTGCAAAGATTTAGTTAGGGTTTTCAAAAGAATCTCATGATACTTGGAAAGAGAAAGAAAGAGAGGCAGAGGCGAAGCCATTTCCGTTTTTTTCCCCTTTTTTTGGGGTTTAGTTAAATTGTAAACGCATGCCACCTTATTAGAGGATTTTTGAGCGTCCAGTTGAGAGAGAGAGAGAGAGAGAGAGAGAGAGAACAACAAGGGTGGTGGTAGAGAGGAGGAGGAGACTCAAAAGTGCTAGAATCTTTTGCGGTTCTTTTTTTTTTTAAAACAACAACCGTTCTACTTCACTTTTGGCCTGTCTAATCCATTACAAGAATATTTGTTTTTAAAAAAATTCTTTTCAAAGCGCGGTAAAATCTATTTTTAAAAGTATATTTATTTTAAAAAAATATTAAATTAATATTTTATTTTATAATTTTAGTTTTTTATGTTAAAAATGTGAAAAATACAAAAAAATATTCCAATATATTTTCAAAAAAAATATTTTTTTAAAATATCATGTTTTACAATACTTAACATGTAAAAATGCTGTTAAATTATTTTTTATTTAAAAAATACATCAAATTAAAGTTTTTTAAATGATATTAATGTCTTAATATAAAACATATAAAAAAATTATTTTAATATATTTTTAATTAAAAAATATACCGCACCACATTACCAAAATACACTATTCTTAAAATCAAATGTATTACTTACTTCCTTTTATTCTTATCTAAAGAGAAAGAGAAAAGAGGGAAAATAATTTATAAAATATTTTATTTTTATTTTTAATTTAAAATGATATGAATTTATTGAGAAATTTTTTTAATATATATCTTAATTTTCATTCTTTCAAAAAAATATATATTTTCCCCTCCATATATCTATTTGAAACACTAAAATCAAACTCAATCTAACACAATAGAATTTTCCTCAATAATATGTGTTACTTTGAAAATCTCAAGATATTCATAGGAATATGCCCATTTTTTCCTTTCTCCTGGGACATTTGATGTTGTATTGAAAAGTGTCAAGAACACATATAAAAATAAATAACAATTATAAATAAATTGAGACCTCATGATAATAAGCTTTTTATTTATTAAAACTTACACATCCAAGATGCATAGTCTTAGAAAATATTTATATGATAGAACATTCAAATTTGAATATACTCTAAAGTTTGTTTTTAAAAACATTTTATAGATGGCCTAAGATTTAAAACAATTTATTAATAGTAATTTAGTTCTTAATTTCTTGTTAATGAATATGTATAGTTTAATATTTATTTTGTTATTATATGCGGCAATCTGGAATGGATATTAATATTAAGTATCTAAAAATTAGTTATCAATTAATCTAATAGGTGTGATTTACAAAATAATTTTAATCATTAAAGATAAAAAAAAATAAGTTACATTTAAAAGAAATACGTCTAACAATATCTTAAACATCAACAATCAAGTTTTATTCTTAACCTAATATTTGATATTTATAATTTAAGGAATATTTAGTTCTCTCAAATTAAAAAATATAATACTTTAGTTGATGATGATTTATCAATACAATATTCGTAACTCAAAATATATATTAATTTTATATAAATATTGAAAGGAAATAAATAATAGATAACATAGTTTTTTATAAGCTATTATTGAAAATATCATTATTTCATGTTTTGCTAAAAAGAATAACATAGTCAAATTTATGTTGTGCAAATATCAAAACATGATTTGTGAGCACATTCACGACAACACGGGAGCCCATTCACAAGTATATTAAAGAAAAAAAAAACAAAAGAGTTTAACAAATAAAATATTGACGAAGATAGCATGTAATTTATGTAGTTTTTTAACTGCGCCTGGCTATATTGCGGTCATACGACAACATTTTACCTTCATATTTCAAGGATTCTTTATTTATATGTATTAAAAATATTTTTTAATCAAAATTTAATTTTTTATTTAAAATGAATATTTTTTTAATATTTTAAAATTAGTTTGATACATTGATATCAAAAATAATTTTTAAAAAATAAAAAAAATATTATTTTGATATATTTTTAAATAGATTTCTTTTTTAAAAATAATTGTAACCATACTTTCAAATATATTTTTAATATATATTATGATATAATATAATTTATTTTCTCCATGCTCCTCCAACATCTCTTATAAATTATCTAATTTATGGAAGCTGTGAGAGTTATATTAGAAAGTAATTTTTTTTTTGGCCACTCTCATTGTCAAAGTGTGTGATTACTTCTCTGTAAAAATTTGCATTTTAAGCTTATGCTTACTTCTCTATAAGAGAATTGCACTACTTGTTTGGATTTTAATTATAATAATTAGTTGTAAACTAGATAATTAATTGTGCTATATTATCAAATTTTTATTGAATGTTAAAAAAATCCAGGTGTGGTTAATGCGTTTCTTAGCAAAAAAAACTAAACTATATGACGATTAATTCAATATGAAATAGTGAACTTTGCAGGTTCAAAGACAATTCAAAATATAATAATAATAATAATTTACTTAAAAAAAATCATGAAATTTTTTTCTTCTCCTAGCTCATTATATTTGTATTTTTCATGGCTTCAACAAGGCATGACAACCATATTTATTGGCATTTTTTCCAACAAAAGCTTGTCACGTAGCTGGGTTAGTTACAAGGTAAATGAGCTGGATTTAAGCCAGTCTATGTCTAGGCCGAATTCATACCAAGTTTATTTAAAGAAAAAAACTTATTAAGCCTTATGTCGGCCCAAACAAACTAGATTAGGTTGAGCCTAAGCTCCACCCATACACATGGATGGGGCCTTTAACCTATAGAAGTCTAATCCATGTGGTTCGGCAAAGACTAACCCAGATTTAAGGGTGTGTTTAGTTATTTAGCGTGAATTTGTCAAACATGTTTTTAAAATATTTTTTTATATCTCTAATTTTAAGCTAAGGATGTGTTTGACAAACACGCCCTTAACCTTTTTCTTTGGTATTAGTTTGTTCTTATTTTGGGGTTTAGCCAAATGATCCTTAAGAAATTCAAAAAATTCTAAAACAATTAAGGGATCATTTTGAAATTATTTGTAAGTCCCTTAAGTGTTTTTCTAATAGTTTTTGTTTAATACTGAACTATAGACTTACACTGTAAGATACAGATCTAGTATTAAAAACTATAGACTTACACTGTAAGATACAAATCTATTATTAAAAATATTTGATTTTTCTCTAGGATTTCAGAAAAAATTCAAAAACCAATTTTTTTATTTCAGAAAACATAAAAATATTTTTTTAAAAAAACTTCATTTAAAATCATATTATAGACTTACATTGTAAGATATGGATCCACTATGAAAAATACTCTGTTTGCTTTGAAATTTCAAAAAATAAAATGCAATTTTTTTTTAAAAAATTTCATCATTTCAAAAACACAAAAAATATATTTTGTATTTATGCATATGACCAAATTCTAAAGGCTTTTCATGCATATTGTTTTAAAAACAAAATCACATTTTATCATGCAAAATTGATATTGTAACTAGTTTATAATTATCAACTAGGATTTGAACAAAATACCAAAAATCACACAACAATTAATTTGTTTCATTAATGTTCAGAGTATTAAGATTTAGCTATAGACTTTAATATTCAGAGGAATAAAATTATAATGTAAAGTATATTTCTAGGTATTAAAGAAAATAAATGCGTTGCTAAAAATTAAGCTTTGAAATAGTTTGGATTTAACAAGGTAAGGTAGAGACTTTCTAATGGAAAGAAATTTGTCTTGAATCTTAGATGAAACCAATAAATAAAAACATACTTCAAATTAAATATCAATCAACGATGCATATTACTATAGGTAAAGTGCGATGGGGGTGATGCATCTTCTCCCTATACAACTAGTTCTTTTACCTAAACTCTCACAGACCATTAAGTTTTCGAGTAACCATAATAATAGGTAACAACTCTTGAACCCTCTAATCATAACTTTATGATTAAATCCAAACATCCTTCAATTCCAAGAGGCAGCTCCGCCATTCGATGTCATGCACTTCATAACAGGATGGTGACTCTACTTGGGATTTGTGTGGTTTGACTAAGCTTTGTTTGTTTACTTGTTTATTTTTACTAGTCTATGCAATTTAATTTTAACATGTATTTTTATATATTGTTCTTGTCTTTGTTTTATATGCTGCTCATATATAAGTACATCAAGTATGAATTAATGCTTTCATGCATTTTAATTTTCAAGTAACCCTATTTCTAGGTTAGGTGGAGAGAAATGGTCTAACTCAAGACTTCACTCGGAGTTTAGATTTGTAAAACATTTAACTATGAGCTGAGCATTTACTCAGTAATGACGGTCACACTGTGCCCTAACCATTCTTTATAAACCTTTATATTGCCTTTAGAAAAAGTGGTCATTAGCAAATCATGGACCCTTTTGAGACTAGACAGTAAGCCTACCCCTCATGTAATGGCTTAGAACTTGTGATTAATATTTAAAAATATATTTTTATCAAGGTTTTATATCATTATTTTGCACTTCATGCATTAATAACTCCTTCACTAAAGCATGTTTTCATGCATCAATAACTCCTTCACTAAAGCATGTTTTATCACAACATATCTAATAATATAAGATACTTTTAATTTATGGTAAATATTTATTTTAAATGCAGGCTTATCACATAAATGAAAGGATTGATTGATGAGTTTAAGAACTGAAATTGAAAAGACAAAGAGCTGGCTAAATTTAGAAAAGAGATGCTGGTGCAGTCCAAACCAGAACACTATTTGGTAATTGAATCATATCTAGAGCTGTAGATCTCGAATTTAGGTCTACTTTATAAATAAATTGAGACCTCATGATAATAAGCTTTTTATTTATTAAAACTTACACATCCAAGATGCATAGTCTTAGAAAATATTTATATGATAGAACATTCAAATTTGAACATACTCTAAAATTTGTTTCTAAAAACATTTTCTTCATTATAGATGGCCTAAGATTTAAAACATTCAAGTTTTATTCATATTCTAATATTTGATATTTATAATTTAAGAAATATTTAGTTCTTTCAAATTAAAAAATATAATACTTTAGTTGATGATGATTTATCAAAACAATATTCCTAACTTAAAAAATATATTAATTTTGTATAAATATTGAAAGGAAATAAATAATAGATAACATACATTTTTTTATAAGCTATTATTGAAAATATCATTATTTCATGTTTTGCT